TAGCAAGATCTTGTCTCAAAATAAGAAGTAGGGGGTGTGCTCAATAGTAGAGTGCTTACCTAGCATGTGTGAGGTCCTAGGTTCCATCCTTAGCACTGTAAAAATAAATAAATAAAAATTTAAAAATAAAAAGGGCTGGGGATGTCGTCTAATGGTAGAGCATTCTGCATTCATTCCCCAGTACCATAAACGATTCTGGAGACAGAAATCTAAGGTCAAGGTATGGGCTGTAGTAGTCCCTTCTGGAGACTCTGAGGGTCTGTTCCCTACTTCACCCCAGCTCTGATGGTAGCCTCAGGCCTTGGGTCTCTTCTCTTGTGGCTGCACCCTGTAGCCTCTGGCCCTTGCTTCTCATGACCTCTCTGCACGTCTGTGTTTCTTTCCTATGAGAATGCTCCATGTTGATTTAGGGCCACTCTAATCCAGGAGGCTTTCATTTCAAGATCTTGAACTTCATTAGCATCTGCAAACACCCATTTTTCCAAGTCAGCTCACTTCTACAGATGTTGAATTATATCACATGAAGCTCCCACAGCCAAGCACTGTGCTCAGTGTTTCTCTGGATTATGTCTGAATGTTCTCATTCCCATCCTCTTTTCTCAGATGAGGACACTAACACCCAAGGTCTTGTGGCTTGACCTGGTGAGGCGGGAACTCGGGATTTAAAGCCTAAGTCCGAGGGTCTGAGGTCAGAATTGCTGCCCTGTGTGTCGCCCTAGACACCCTTAGGGAGTTGCTGTAGCACAGGGCTGCCTGCGGGGCTGTGAGGTTAAACGAGATCACAGGGTGCTTGGCAGATCCCACCCATCTCTTTGCTTTCTTCTCTTTCCAAAAATGAAAAGCTGGCACAAGCTGGGTTGGGGGCCCTAGTGTGTCTGACCCTTTGCTTTTCTTGCAGGCAAGATGGACTCCAGCACTCCTCCTCTGAGCCCCTCCATCCCACAGCCTCCACCAGCACCACAGCCTCAAGCCCGCGCTCGGCTCAATGCCACTGCCTCAGTGGAAGAAGAGAGGAGCGAGGCACCCCAAGCTCCCAGGCTCCAAGGTGGCCCTGGCCCAAGCGTCAGAGAAGCAGCTGTACTAGCTGAGCCTCGGGCCCCTCGTGCCAGGAGCCAAGAAGAAATGGGTGGAGCTGGTAAGGGGGTAGGGCCAGGGCCAGCAGTCTTCAGCCCAGGCTGGCTGTGGCTCTTGCTTCCAACTCTGCAGTCTTATTCAGAACCTCAGATCTAAGAGCTGCTGGGGTATCTTTTCTGGGTTCCCCTAATTTGCCTCCATGCTTTCCTACCTCCCCTTTGGCCACGTGGGAACCTCTGTCCCAGATATGGTATCACCATCTCACCTGTTCAATGCCACCTGCTTAATAAGGCTCTCCTGCCTCTGGCACTTTCCAGCCTGCTCCCATAGCAGGAATACATGTTCTGTTGCAGTGTGGCACATGTACACATGCATTCACATGCTTGGGAACAAGTTTCCAAAGCAGTATCGCCCTTCCTCTGTGTTCTGGTCTATGTTCTACTTTGCTCCTGTGATTTAAAAATAAATGCCACTTTGGGGCAGTTAAATTGACCTCATGACCTTCTCATGGGTGAAATCTGCAGTTTGAAATCCACTGTCTGCAGAGGAGGACCCCATCTTGCCGGGGTCCCTGGTTCAGAAGTGTCCTGGATATTTAGTGGGGTGACAGTGTGGGTGAGTGAGCCTTGCAGTGACAGGCCCATGTGTTCTCACTGGGACTTCTCTCTTTGCATCTGGTCTCCCTGGACACGTCCATAGCAGGTGAGGGCCAGGCCTAGGGTCACCAGCTGTACCTTGGGTGGGTCTTGTTCTACAGCCCCTAGTGGTTGTAGCAGATACTCCTGTCTCCACCCTCGGCAGCTTTTGTTTTATTTCTTCTGTGTGCTGGACGCCAGGCAGAGGGAAGAGTTGGCATACAATAGGGGTGAGGCTGTGGGCAAGGATTTGGGTACTAAGAACAAAATCAGCAAGGACTGGAGGGACAGGAGCAGGGCAGGTTCAGGGCTGCAGGGGCTGAGAGCAGGTGGGCAGTTGGAAGGAGTGTGGCCGTGGCTCTTTTGGTTCTGTGAGGAACCCTCTTTCCAGCCCCCGTCATCTTCTCTTCCCTGAGAGACTGCCCCATCAGCAGGGCCCTCACACCATCCATGCCGAGGCCCTGGACCTGCTGAGTGCACCTGCTGTGGCTGTGTGCCAGCCCTGCCATAGGTGGCCCAGTAGTGACACACCTGTCACATGCTGCAGCCTTGCTAGCAGAGCTAGAGGGCTTCTGGGCTCCCTGTGCAGCTCTGGCTGGACACACGCCCCACCTCAGGCTCTTTTGGACTCTGCTTCTCTTTTAAAAGATCACCATGTTCTTCCAATTTATCTCTAATGTTTCTGGGTAGACGCAGGTCTGAGCCTGGGATCTACCTGGCTGTAAGTCTTATTCCTTGTCTGTGCCCTTCCTACAGACCCCAGGGACCACAGTGGGTGTCAGGCCTGCACAGTCTGAGTCTTCATCGCCTCCCACCCGCTAGTGCCAGATGACATATGCCTGTCAGCTATAGAGACACAGATGATGAGGACATTAGCAGGACCCTGAGGTAGACAGGGCTGGTCTGCCAGGACACTACCCAGTAGTGACCACGGCTGGGAGTAAGACACTTCTGGAAGGGTGCACTGGGCTGTGGCAGGAAGAAGTGAACACCAAGTTCCAAGACCATGGAAGGGGCGTGCAGCTGGGCTGAGTCAGAGGAAGGGTCAGAGTGTGGGGGCCCAGGTCAGCTGGGCCAGTGGGGCCCTGAGGGTCGGGGCAGGAACGTTGCTGTATGCATGAGGGGCTGGCAGGGCTCTCCATGGGGAAGGAGCTGACTTTCACCTTGAGGAACCACCTTGTGCTAGAGAAGATGGGGTAGCGGAGCAGGAGAGTGAGGCTTTGGAGCCTGGAGCACAAGAAAGGTGGCCAGTCTGCCTGGCGGCTGGGCATGGACAGGGAAAGGAGGAAGCCAGGGTGACCTCAGGAGCCCCTAGGTGGACAGTGGTGGCACAGCTGAGACGGGACCCCAGGGGGAGGGGTCAGAGCTTGGTCCCGGCAGTGGGTGTGAGGAGGGGTCGGGAGCCAGTGCACTGTGGGTGCGCGCTAGATGCTGAGTGGGGAGCAAGCCACAGCCCCGAGCAGCACTCGGAGTCCCGCTGTCAACAGCGCAGGAAGACAGCATGTTGCGTACGTTGCCTTGCGCTGACCTGGCTGTCGGCTTGCGTGTGTGTTGTGATCCCTGTACCGTAGCTGACACAGCATGAAGCAGGGTCCTTTGAGCTCACCCGATGGCCTCCAGGCCTCTTGGAAACCTGGCCGTGTGCCTCTTGATTGTTACTTTAACCTCCTTTGGAGGCATTCCAAGCCTCCAACGTCGTCTCCTCCATGAAGCCTCCCCTGTCACCATTGATGTCCCCACCTGTCCTGGTAGAATGGAGTTGTCCTCGCTGTCCCTGGGGGTGGGCCTTACCAAGGGCAGGGGTCATGCCTTGTTAACTGGCTTCCCTTGGCTCCTGGCACTCAAATTGGTGGGTGAGGGTGTGGCTGAGTTCACACGTCCTGTTTGGGCCTAGTGGAAGGGCGCCTCTCTGGGCAAGACCTGCCCCAGTACCCACTGTCTCCATCCCTGCACAGAGCTCGGCCAGCTCAGGAAGGCAGGGCTGCGGTCAAGGATCCCTCACTGTGTTCCTTCCCAAGGACAGAGTTAGTGGCACAGAGGCTAATGGCACACTCCTTACATGCAAGGTGGCCCCAACTGCCCCGTGTGAGGAGCACTCCTTGGACCAGGGTAACCTCAGCTTCCCCATGTGTGGGAAACCTTGGTCCAGAGTGGCCTAGGTGTCCTGTTGGGACAAGGCCACAGCACTCTGCTCTGGCCACAGGGATGATGCCAACATACAGTGCATTTTTTGACATGCATTCAAAAATTTCAGGCGTACGCGGGTAGCCACAGTAGTGTGAGAGTGGAAGCCAGCTTGCTGTTGCTGGCCAACTGGGGAAGGCTCTACACGTATTCAGCTGGTGGGGAAGGACCCAGAGGCTTGCAGCACATGGCCGGGATGGTTCTACACTCCTAATGGGCAGGAAGGTCCCTCTCTTCACCCTTCTTCTACCGAAGGGAGCTGAACTTGGCAGTTCAGTCACTAAGCCCGGTGCATGCTGGGCTGTGGCTGTATTGGATTGGGGGAGACAGAGGAATGCCGAGGGCCCTGCTCTCGCTGCTGCCTTCTCAGCCCCCTTCTCTGTTGGTTCAGCACTTCCTAGCTGCACTGTAGTGCTGCATCAGAAACCAGGGCTTAGAGACAGGTAGGCCCAGGGCAGTGACTGCACCCACGAAGCCCCTGGAGGCTACCTCACAGCGGACAGCAAGAAAGGCCCAGTGGGCTACTCGGGAAGGGAAAAGGCCTCTCAGAGCCGCTTTATGGGCCCTGGAATCATTGCTGAGTAAAGTCCCTGGGGGAAGTTGAGCCCAAAACTCTGCAGGGATACTTGCCACTGTGTGGGGGTCACTGCACCTTCCCCAGGAGCTCTTCTTGCTCCTCTTCCACCATCACAAGCCTCTTCAGAGTGCCCTCAGGGGCTACATGCACTTGTTTTTTAAATGTATTTATTTTTTAGTTGTAGGTGGACACATATCTTTATTTCATTTTATATGATGCCAAGGATTAAACCCAGTGCCTCATATGTGCAAGAGCCAGGTGTCTCATCTCTGCCGAGGGGAGCATAGCAGGGGTCGGAGTCAAGCTGTGGGACTGAGTGTCAGCCCTTAAATATTGTCTGCCTGAATCAAAGAAAGGAGCTGGTAAAAATGAGTAGTTTTAAAAGCTCTCTTCATTGCTGTGATTCCCAGTGTCGATAAGGTTGTAATGGAATTGATGTAGTTGTATGATGTTTTTGTAGGTAACTTTTTAGGAAACGAATAGAGCATGAGCCCTGTGATGAGTCGTTCAATTGGAGAAGCTGTTAGGAAAATCATTTCCCACGGAAAACAAAGGTGCACAGAATGGTCTGTGGCACCATTTTATAAAGTAAGGGGCCACAGGGAACAACCCCGAGGCCCGAGAGAGTGGAAAGGCTGGCAACCCTGAGCATGCCCCCCCGCCCCATGGGAATTAGGAGCCACTGAGGTGGTGAACTCACTGTGGCGCAGTGTGGAAATTGAGTGAGTCACTGTGGTGCCCCACAGGTCACATGCTGGCCTCCTGACCTGCTGTGCAGTGCTACTAGGAGGTGGGCCTTCAGGGGCCGGTGAGGTCATGAGGGTAGAGAACACACACATGGGACTAGTGCCCTTATAAAAGAGACCCCCCACCCCAAAACTCCTTCACCCCTCCCATGCAAGGCCCTAGCAAGAAGGTGCCATCTGTGAACTATAAACGGGGCCTTTGCCAGACATCATCTGCTGGCACCTTGATCTTGGACTCCCAGTCTCCAGAACTGGGAGTAATAAATTCTGTTGTAAGGCGCCCGGTGTGTGGCATCTATCATAGCCCCCCCGACAGACTGAGACACTCACTTATCAGCAAAAAGCATCTGTACCAAGATGTCCGTACGCTGACTGTACTCTCCAGAAGGCAGGTGTTTGTGGTGACAATTGTTGGCATGCTGAGTCCTGCACGTTCTTTTTGTCCAGGCCAGTGTCTTTCAAATGGAGCCCTTAGATTTTCTAGAGCTCCAGCAAGAGAAGGCCTGAGCTGAGGGGGACATTAGTGGGACTCAGGACTGTGCCTGTCCCTGTGTCTCCCATTTCTGCTGTCGGAAGTCACTGCGCTTGGTAGATGCTGCAGTCTCTGCTCTGGGGCTGTTTGGAGAGCTGGGAGGCAGACTGCTGCTCCCTGGCCCTGTCCTGTCTTTGCGGCGGTTCTGTTGCTCCTGGCCTGGATTTTACAGTAAGTATCGGCACCAAGTCTTCTGAAGGCCCTTCCTGCCGCCCCTCCACTCTGCCAAGTGACAAGGTCTGGCTTTTGACATTCTGCTTTTTTCCCTTTGTTAAAGGACCCATGAGGAGAGAGATGGAAATCCCATTTGAGGAAGTCCTGGAGAAGGCCAAGGCTGGGGACCCTAAGGCACAGACAGAGGTGAGGACCACACTGTCCCCTTGGGAACTCAGGACCCAGCCCCAGCAGGACAGGGCCTGGCCAAGAGCTCTGCAGCCCACAGAGGAGGAATGTGCCCCACCATGTTCAGTTGATCCACATCCACAGTGCCATCCCCCCAGCACCCTGCTGGGCCGGCCCCCATGTCTTCCCTCAGGTCCGGCTAACACCTTGCCTTGGGCCTCCCCTCCTCTAAGATGCCTTCCCCACCTCCACATTCCTGAGTGCCCCTCCCACTGTTTGTGCTGCTCACTCTCGTCTCTGAGTGGCCACTCTGTGCCTGACCAGAGTAGTGCACAGAGCCCTCAGAGAAGTGACCATAGACATGGGCTGGGTTTGTGCCGGTGCCAGAGACTCAGTGCCACATGGATGGGGACCCTATCCTCATGGAAGTGATAGGAAAGTGGAAGGAGCTGACAAAAAAGTAAACAGATGCTCCTGATAGAGGAAATAGGAGAGGGTCCTGGTGTCCTCTGAGGAGGTGCCATCTCTGCCAAGGCATAGACAGGAGAAGGGAGCAGGGGTCCTGAGGATAGAGAGGCTTAGTGGGGTCATGAATCAAAACACAAGGAGGTGCACGGGTTGGGGGGGACCTCAGCAGGTCATGGTCGTCTCAGGTTGTCTTCATGATGTCCTTAGAGGGGGATCATCATTCACTCTCTTTGAAAGAGCTTTAGTAACTTGCCCAAGTTCACCGAGCCAGGAGGCACAGTGCCATGGTTCATGCCCAGGTCAGCAGCTCCGAGACCTCCCACCTGGTCCTTGGTGCGATGTGGGCAGTGTTGTCCCCACACTTCTTGCTGTTTCTCCTGTTGGTATCTGGAAATCTGGGGCGGGGGGGGTCCCAGAGTCCAGCTTCCCGTCATTAATGTGGAGAAGTTGAGGGCCTGAGAGTGTGAGGAAGCGAGCTGTGAGCAGGTCTCTGCCTAGTGCCTCCCTCCAGCCTTGCCCGGCCCACCCTGTAGGGAGACCACCACATCCTTCGTAGCGGGGCTGCCAGAGGCCCCAGAGATCTGTCCAGAGCAGTGGCTCACCCTGTCCCTCTGCACTCTGAAGTTCTTCTATAGCCTGTTGCCTGCACATTCCAGGGTTGGATCACATACTGGCCCTTTTTGAGGCCCTGTCTGTGCCCTGGGCCTCACTTTGTCCAGAGAATGAGGGTCGGACTGGGTCGGCCGGCATCTTTCTTTTCATAAAGAGCCAGATAGTAAGTATTTTGGGCTCCATGTTCTGTCATACCCACCCAGTTTGAGCAAGGATCACAGCAAAGCCACCATGCCTTCCCCACCTCCACGTTCCTGCAGCCCCCCTACTGTTTGTGCTGTTCACTCCCATCTCTGAGTGGTCACTCTGTCCAGAGAATGAGGGTTGGACTGGGTCAGTCATGGCTATGCTCTAGTAAAACTTTATTTAAAAAAAATCTGGCCAGTAGGCCAGTTCAGCCCTTGTCTGGCTGCCGTCTCTCCACCCCTGATTTTATGTGGTCACCTGTTTTGAGAGGTGGTCTGTGGGCCGTCACTGTTGTGAGTTTCCCTCCTTGGGCTCTTGGTGGGCAGGAGCAGCTTGAGGAAGATCTCAAGAGTGCAGGCGCTGTGGCTCCTTCATCTGCCCAAGGTTCTATGCCTGCCTCACAGTGTTTTGGGCAGGAGCCAGGGCCCAGGACCTGCAAGAGTCCAGTCTAGTGCAGGCACCCAGTGGGACCCATTCCCACCACCTTTCTTCTTGGTCTGAGTGACATGGGGAGGAGACCTGAGGAGTGGGCTGCAGGAGCAAGGGCAGGCGAGGTCCCAAAAGGCAAGGTTGAGTGGTGTCTGGCTTGCAGGTGGGAAAACACTACCTGCGATTGGCCAGTGATGGGGACGAAGAGCTTAACAACTGCACAGCCGTGGACTGGCTGATCCTGGCCGCCAAACAGGGCCGGAGGGAGGCGGTGAAGCTGCTGCGCCGGTGCCTGGCCGACAGGAAAGGTGAGTCTGCAGGGAGCTCCAGCTGCCTGAGGGCGAGCAGTTTGTAATGCTCCTCGCTAAACGGACAGCTGAGATGGTACACAGGAAACCTAGTGCTGGTGACACTGCTGGGAAATGAGGAGTGTGTGTGGCTAGTAGCCTTGTCGATTGAGACACTGTGGGGCATGATGGGAGATTTAACAGACCAAGCCATTTCCCTGCCCTTTGGTAGTAATTAACTATGGCCATTTTCCCTTCTGGGTTCTGATCCAAACTGAAGGATGGATCCTGGAGGCAGCCGCACAGGGCCAGCTGTACTGTGTTAAAGCAGAGGCCTGTGGGCAGAATTTCTGGGCTGTTTCCATCCAGTCTCTGAGAACAGTTGGGGACTATAGGCCCAGGAAGACCTGCTCAGTTGCACTCACAGTAGAAGGAGGAGGACTGATGCTTCCTAAGAGCAGGCACGCGGGCAGAGGCGGCCAGGGTGGGGAGGGGTACTGGGGCAGTGGGAACCCAGAGGAGGCCATTTGTTATGGCTTCCTGTTTGTGTGGAAAATTTGGGGCGTGTTTAGTAGGAGAAGTCATTCTTCCCAAGTCTGGCTGCCCCCCGGGAAGAGACGGCTGCTATCCCAGGTAGTGGTGGGTGAAGGGACAAAGCAGTGGACCCTATTCACCATTGCTTCCTCTGAAAGGGCTGCCACGTGGGAGATACTGCTCCCTTGGCTGCCCTCAAGGGCCTGTGCCTGTGAAGCACTGCAGACACAGGGATGGCCCTGCCATTGCGCCCGGCTAGTAGTGGTGCAGGGAGACTGAACTGGTTCAAGGCAGTTCTGTCTCCCTGGGACCCTGTGGCCCTGGGCAAGCCAGCACCTTGCCGTGTGCCTCAGCTCTAGACCAGCACCCACTCAGAAGGGTCTCAGAGGATAATGGGGGCAGGGAGCGAGCCAGGAAGACAGAAAGCCTTTATACACCTGCACGCAGAGACACTTGGCCCTCTGCCACCAGACCAGCTGGGCCCCAGCCAGGAGAGCCGATGCTGGGGGTGCTTGCCTCAGATGGCCACTGTCTGGTGCCTGACAGATGTTTCACACGTTGCCTTCCCTGGCCTTTCAGAGCAGCACTGATGGGCCCAGATGGGCGGGAGGAGGACTTACTGTTGCCTCTGTCTGTCAGGCATCACTTCCGAAAATGAGCCAGAGGTGAAGCAGCTTTCCTCCGAGACTGACCTGGAGAGGGCTGTGCGCAAAGCTGCGCTGGTCATGTATTGGAAGCTCAACCCCAAGAAGAAGAAGCAGGTGGCTGTGTCGGAGCTACTGGAGAATGTGGGCCAGGTCAACGAGCATGGTAGGCAGGCCACCACAGCACTGGGCCTTCCTGGGGCCTGGGCCTTCCTCTGGGGCTGGGACCTTCTCTCTTGGGGCCAGGGCATGCTTTATGGGGATTGGGGCCTACAGTAGGGAGGTACGGCATGCTCACAGAAGGACAGCGTAAATCCTGGCTTGGGTGTTTGCTCATTAATCAAATTTGTGCTGAGCTCCTCCTTGTGTCTGGGCCAGGTATACAGAGGTGACAGACAACTTGCCCTCACTGCTGGGGAGCTCACTGCTCAGTGGGAAAACCAGACCAATACGTGATGCTGGCCAAAAGTGGTTGAGATCAGGTGGTGCCAACCAAAGAGGGTAGTGTGCCTAGGGTGCAGTGACCTTGTCCCCAGGTGGGAGAGATTGTGTTATTCACTGAGTGGGAACACTGTAGCAGGTGCTGAGTCCACCTCATGGGGAAGCTCAGAGGTGGCCGCCAAAAGTGTGGTGCTTGTAAGACTCACGGGCTGCCATGAAGGCCCCAAGCCCTGGGTCCCCACGGCTCACTAACGACCTCTGTTTGGTGGGCTTCAGGGCAAGAGACAGACAGCCCTTATTCTCAATTCACTTTGTCTCTGGCAGATGGAGGAGCGCAGCCAGGCCCTGTCCCCAAGTCCTTGCAGAAGCAGAGGCGAATGCTCGAGCGCTTGGTCAGCAGTGAGTGTGAGTAAAGCCTGTACCTGCCAGGGTGGCACCGGGACTTCCGCCTACCTCTCAGCTATGGCATCTGCTCCTTCTGGTGGATCCCAGGCCTGGGCCACAATCAAGATTCTGGGGGATGAGTGGATTCTTGGTCCTGTCTGTTTGGGTGCTAGTGCTCTGGACACTGGGATCTAGACTCTGCCCACCAGGCTGTCCAAACTCCAGCAAAACACACCTGCAACATGACATATGAGAAAGACCCGCCATATGAGAAAGACTGGCAGGCAAAGGTGTGGGAGCCTACACCCACGGTGCCTGCATGAGCTGGAAAGGGTAAGGAGGGGTCAGCCATGAACAGCAAGAGGAGACGCTCCAGGCAGGGGGAAGATCGTGGGCATAGGTCCAAAAGGAGATCTGCAGGTGTGTGCAGACTCGGCCCCAGCTGGGCACTGGGAGGGGCAGAGCTTGCACAGGGAGGGGAGAGAGGTCTGAGGACCTGCTGAGCTGTGGGTGCCTTTGGGCTCCCCAGGGTCAGAGAGCCTCACAACCTCTGCATGCAGCTCCCTGGCCTGACCATCGCTCCATCTATGTGGAGTGGACTCTGTAGTCTAGAGACCCCGGGGATGCTGTCCTGGAGAAGGCAGATGGGGGTGTCACTGTAGAGGTTTGAGGGGGTCTCCGGAGGCAGAACACCCTTTACTCAGACTGCAGGCTCTTGATACATGGCAGAAAAAATTTTAAGAATGCATCAGATTTTACAAAGAGGAGCTTCTTAGAAAGGTGAAGATACGTTCATTTTCAGAATGTGGCTCGCTCTCAGGTGAGAAGCACCTCTGGGGTCTCAGGCTGTTATTTTAAAGGCGACTCCATGAGGGGTGGGCATGGGCAGGTGTGTAGGCTGGTCGTCCTGGTGATCACAGGGTGGCGTGTGGGTCCAGCTCTTCTCGAGATCTTCAGTTTGAAGTAAACTTCTGATCTACGGATACTGTGTGGAAAGTACTCTGTAAGATACCGTCTATCTTTTTGCTTATTCTAGAAATATACATGGTAGTACATTGCACAGGACAGTTTTTATAAGTGAGTGAATTAAGATTTGTAGGTTTCTCAGAAATCTGGGAGTGACAGGCCTGGGGGAAAGACTGACCTGGGAGGATAGGCCTGAGGAACTTGAGTGCAAGGCTTTCAGATGAAATCCCAGTCTCCTTTTCCTTCCTGTGTCTCCTTCCTGCCTGTCCTTTTCCATTTCTTGTCCCTTCCTCAGGGGAACAAGAGGGCTGCTCAGCACTAACAGGCGGGCTGAGGCGGAGCCCACACCTGAGAGGAACTTGGTAGGAGAGGTGCTCACAGTTGTGACCCCCTTGTGTCAATTCCTCTGCACACCGTCCTGGACAGCCTGGAGGAGAACTTCTAACATGGACGCACCCTGGGGGACTCCCAGCCCTTGTCTCGTGTCTGTTTTCCCCACTGGGAGCCTGGACTCAGGCATGCTGGGTTTCCTAGTATTTCCCAGGGCTTAGAAGAGTGCCCAGTGCATAGTGGACCCTGACAGACAAGTGCTGGACGGAGGTCACCGGTTGGCTCTCAGTAGATCATGTTGGATGGGGGCTCGGAGGTGGTGGCTGGCTCCTGGGGGACTTGTCACCAGTGTTGTAAGAGCCCTGGTGAGCACCCAAGGGAGAGAAAGGGAGTCAGAGGCACAGGAGATGTAGGCTGTTGAAAGCCGTGGAGCTGGGCCCAGAGGTCAGGTGGGCTCCAGGCAACAGGAGCTGGGTGGGCCGGTCACCTCACATGGAGAATGGCATGTCACCAGGGCCAGGGGCAGCGGTGGAGGTTAGAGTGCAGCATGCCCACCAGTTCCTCCCCATATGGCTGGTCTTCATCCGTAATCACACCCAGGGAAGGGCTTCGAACCTCATCTCGACTCTTGTCCCAGCGGAGCCACAAGCCATTGTGCCCTTCCTTGGCTGCCCAGGTCAGAGTCACAGTGGGTTGACAGTGGGGACCCCCTGTGCTGTTTCCTCTGTGCTGCAGCCAAGAACTACATCGCCTTGGACGACTTCGTGGAGATCACCAAGAAGTACGCCAAGGGCATCATCCCCAGCAACCTCTTCCTCCAGGATGATGACGACGACGAGCTGGCTGGGAAGAGCCCCGAGGACCTGCCACTGCGCCAGAAGGTGAGCCAGCCAAGCACGCTGTCACCCTCCAGGAAGCAGTGGGAGGGACATCCTGGAGGTATGCCGCTTGTCTCTTGGGTTGTCCTCAGGGTCTGCTAAAGACGTGTCCTCAGAAGGAGGCCTCCTTAGGCAGCCGGCTCAGAAGCCAAGGAGGTGTGGGTGGTATGCGGGAGTGACCAGTGCTGCGGTCCCTCTGGGGCTTTTTATGCACAGTGCAGTGTGGACAGCCGGTGGAGGCGTTGGAGCTGGACTTTTTGTTTGACTCGCCACAGAGAGAAATGGATTATCCATTTGTAGCACAGGCCAGAGGCCAGTTCCTCGACACAGAGTGCTAGTGTCTGGCAGGCCAGGCCATGGGCCAGTTTGCTGGCCACCAGGGCTCAAGGATCCTGAGGGTAGGCCAGCGCCTGTGTGGGGGATATGGGCACACCTGAGGATGGTGAGCAATACGGACGACAGGAGTGTGGTGGGGGCAGAGAAATCAGAAATGGGGCCCTGCACCCTGCCTTGAGGGCTCCTTGGGTTTGGTCCATGTGGATGGTTTGGACTACAGACACACCAAGGCCATGGCCTTCTCACGGAATTGCCCTGGTCAGCCCACAAGGTTGAATTAGATGTGTCCTTAGCTCACTCTGCAGAGAGAATGGCACTTCCAGGAGTTGGGCTGTCAGGGCCAGCACAGGGGCAGTTCCTCCAAGCAGGGGACGTGTCATGAGCCCTGGGTGTGGGTTACCCAACATTCTTCATTTCTGGGTGTTCATAACGGACCGAGAACATGGATGGACCCATGGCTGTGTGAGAATGGGGTAACCGAGTTAGGATGGGGGCAGCAATAAGGTGGCTCTGCTGCAGGCCAGCAGGTGGTCAGGTAAACAGGCAGCATGCCGGAGCTGGGAGTGGAGGAAGTTGAGCAGGGGCAGGGGAAGGCAGAGAGGAAGAGGAGAGGCCACAGCCAGAGGGCAGTGGCATAACCAAGGACTGGGTGCTAAGCCCACATCTGGGTCTGAGTCCCTGACGAGCACCTAAGGCTGGTAGGTCCCTGGGGTGATGAATTAAAGGCCTTGCCCTTTCCACTGAGGACCAGTGGTGTGTGCAGGGCAGGAGAGACTGCGTTCTGAGACAGGGTGGTATAGCCACAACCCAGGGAGCCTGCCCCGAGCCCTGGGGGGTCACAGACAGGATGCCTTCACTTTCTTACGGGAGAACGGATCTAGAGTGCTTGGCATGGTTCTTGGCAAAGAGGAGGCATCCCTAAATGCCAGTGAAGGTCAGAGGTGACGGGTAAGTTGGAGAAGACCAGGGCCAGAGCATCTCAGCTGTACATGCAGGGTGGGTGCCGATGATCCTCCGCCCAGAGTGCCCGCCCTGGTTGGAGCAGCAGATGGGGCGTCACTCGCTACACGCCATGAGTCCAGTGCTTTGAGCAGTCGGAAGCTCTGTTTGTTGTGACAGGAAGTAGTCAAGGTCTGTGTCTGCTTTCTGTCTTTGGGGCTGTCAGAGCCCTTTGACTCCCCAACAGTGTGTCTTGATAAAAAAAAAGTCTTTGGAAAGAGGTAAGGAACCATGACAGGCATCTCGCAGCTCCAGCGCTATCCAGCTTGTAGTGGCCTTTCAGAGGACTGACGGGCGCTGTTCTGGGAGCGGTCATCCACACTCGGGAAAATGACAGATACCTCCTTGTGAGTTGATGTCCTTCCACAAACAACTTGGCTCCAGAGGCCAAGCAGCTCTTCTTGAGCTGGGGGTTCAAGTTGTCGCCCTCTTCAAAGTAAACAGTAATGTTTTAAAGTCCTAACATGTTGTACATTAAATTATTGGAAAGCCCAACGAGTGAGCATTTTCTCTAGGTGAGAGCAGACCTGGCTGGAGGCACTTGCCTGCCCTGCATTACTAACGGCGGGCTCTGCCCGTGCCTGGCCTGGGCGTGATGCTCCGTCACGGTTCTCGTGCCAGCCGACGGGCTGCTCACTTGCTCCTGCACAGAGGGCACCTTGATGTTCCTTTCCTGGAACTGGATTCCTCACTGGTATTTTTTGAAATATTATTTCATGTGTTCTCCAGCCCAAGGTAGAGTTTATTTTAATTTATTTAGAAATTCTCTATAGAAAAGGACACTAAAATTTTAGTCCCACAGTTTGGTGGATTCCCAAGAGAAAGGGCTTGGGCAGAAATTGTGGGGACCAGAGGTTGGAATCTTAAAAAGGAGAGCATTCCCTGATCACAGAGGCTCCTGGGGCAGGTGCTAGACACCTCAGGGTCTCAGGTTCTAGAAGCTTCATTGTCTTTTACAGGTCTTTGCACCAGGCTGTCATGTGACCGCCTCAGCATGAAAAGTAGTGGGTGGTTCTGAGCATTAGACTTCAGGTACTTTAACGCCAGCCCCTTGGGCACTGTCAGGCCACGTCCTCCAGGCTGCCTGGGCTGGTCACACAACAGAGATGAGGGGCATAGCAGCCCAGGGCACCTTAGATTCTCCTACTGACAGCAAGGTCCGCCCACAGGATGAGCAGAGCCGCTGGCACCCCACTGACTGCTTGGCTCTGGGTTCTAGCCAGCTGCTGGCTAATGCCAGAGGGCTCCGCCCAGGCAAACCCTAGAGGAGGTGCACTTTCATAAATGCTGGTTTACTTTCTGGCATGTGTCGGAAATACGTCCCAAGGCTGGTGCCCGTGCCTGATCTCCCCATGACCACTTCCCAGCAGGTGTGGGTGTCCCTTTGTTCGTAGGAAAAGGTTGTAGCCCAGGGAGCAGGGGAACCCTAGCTGTTAATCAGCTCATTCACTTGTTGCTTGTTATAAAACATACCGAGGAGCCAGGCACAGTGGCCACACCTGTAATCCCAGCAACTCGGGAGGTTGAGGCAGGAGGATCAAAAATTAAAGGCCAGCCTCACAACTTAGACCCTGTCTCAAAATAGAGAAGACCAGGAATCGACTCTAAAGCACCTCTAGGTTCAGTCCCCAGTACAAATAAAAACAAAACAAAACACACAAGGTGCTGTCCCAAGACACCAGAAGAACGAGGCTCTTCCTCCACAGGTGCACGTAGTTGTGTACACAATGGCCTCTTGAGCTCTGTCCCTCTCTGCCTTGGCAGTCAGCCTACTGTGGCTTCCAGGTGTTCTGGTCATTGTGAATCAACAGCCAAGGCTCATGGCAGATGAGGGCCACCTGCATGTGGTCACTTCCTTCCGTTCACCAGGAGTCCTCCTGAGCCCTCCAGGGAGGCCATGGGGGAGCCTGCCCCGGGGAGTGGGGGCCGTGCTGCTCCCTGGCCCGTTGCTAATGGTGAGCAGCTGCTCTCTGCCCCTCACAGGACTAGGCCCTCCAGGGATCCACTCCCTGGTGTTGGCCCAGGCCCTGGACCCTGTCCTGTGCCGCACACCATGCTGTGTGAGGACAGGCACTGTCCACCACTTCCTGTGTCCTCTCCACCCTCCCCCTCTTCCCCATGCCCTGGCCAGGCCTGGCGCTCCAGGGGGTCTGTGGTAGGCACGTGAGGCTGTTCTGGGTGGCAGAACCGCCCGCTGCGCCCCGAGGCTGCCCCTGCCTTGCTTCCCATGGCCCTTCCTCCAGAGTGTGCTTGGGTTTTCAGTTTCTTGTGATAAAGGCCACGAGTTGCTTCTGACCTTTACACTAGATACTGACTGGGGAGGGGAATTCAAGGCGAGGAGGGGGGCTCCACGGGCTGTGTGTCTGCTGTGAGCAGTATGGGGTGTGTGTGTGCGTGCGTGCGCGTGTGTGTGTGGTGGGCAGCTGGTTCCCAGGGCCACACCTGGCCCCACTGCAGCTGCATCGGCTCTTCAGTCAAGAGAGAGCTGCGCCCTCACTGCCCGCATTCGCCCTGTGCTCTCCACGCTGCCCAGCCGCCCTCCAGGGCTTCCATGCTCCCACTCTGTGGAGCCCAGCAGAGTCTTTCCAGTAATGGCTGCTGTCCCCCTTGACTGACAGGGAAGCGGAGGCTCAGGGAGGGACGCCCTTGCCGTGGAGGCAGAGGGAGATGCAAACCTATTCCCAGACAGGCAGCCTAGGGCTGTTGGCCCTTTACACAGGAGGCTGTGTTGGGGCAAGGAGGGGAGCTGGCTGGCCTCCTCCAGGTGCGTGAGGTCTCCCAAGGGAGACAGTCACACTTGAGTTTTGTCACTCTGGTAGAAGGTGGGGAGCCAGGCCCGGGGTGGGTAGAGAAAGACTCTAGGGCCCCGAAGAGGAGGACCAGGACTTGTGGGGGGTGAGAGAAGGTCCCGGGGGGTGCAGGGTGTGGGGAGCACTTTTTTACCTGGAGGCAGGTGCCCGGGTGGGAGGACCTGCTGGGACAAGGTGCCAGGGGTAGGGAAATAGCGGAGCAGGCTACCCACTGTGCAGAGTGAGGCGAGGGAGGGCCGTGGGTCCTTGTTCAGGTGACGCCAACGCAGCCTCTCCTCACAGGTGATGAAGTACCCCTTACACGCCATCATGGAGGTCAAAGAGTACCTGATCGACGTGGCCTCCAAGGCAGGCATGCACTGGCTGTCCACCATTGTGCCCACTCACCACATCAATGCCCTCATCTTCTTCTTCATCATCAGCAACCTGACCATCGACTTCTTTGCCTTCTTCATCCCCCTGGTCATCTTCTACCTGTCCTTTGTGTCCATGGTCATCTGCACCCTCAAGGTGTTCCAGGACAGCAAGGCCTGGGACAATTTCCGCACCCTCACTGACCTGCTGCTGCGCTTCGAGCCCAACCTGGACGTGGAGCAGGCCGAGGTCAACTTCGGCTGGAACCACCTGGAGCCCTATGCCCACTTCCTGCTCTCTGTTGTTTTTGTCATCTTCTCCTTCCCACTGGCCAGCAAGGACTGTATCCCCTGCTCGGAGCTGGCCGTCATTGCCGCCTTCTTCACCGTGACCAGCTACATGAGCTTGAGCAGCTCGGCCAAGCCCTACACCAGGAGGGCCCTGGTCACTGAGGCGGCTGCTGGGCTGCTCTCCCTTCTGCCCACCATGCCCGTGGACGGGCGCTACCTTAAGGTACTTGGGCAGACCTTCTTGACTGTGCCTGTCGGCCACTTTGTTGTCCTGAACGTCAGCCTGCCCTGCCTGCTCTACGTCTACCTCTTCTACCTCTTCTTCCGCATGGCCCAGCTGAGGAACTTCAAGGGCACCTACTGCTACTTGGTGCCCTACTTGGTCTGCTTCATGTGGTGTGAGCTCTCTGTGGCCATCCTGCTGGAGTCCACTGGCCTGGGCCTGGTCCGCGCCTCCATTGGTTACTTCCTCTTCCTCTTTGCTCTCCCCATCCTGGTGGCCGGCCTGGCCCTCATGGGCGTGGTGCAGTTTGCCCGGTGGTTTGTGTCCCTGGAGCTCACCAAGATCTTGGTCACCATGGCAGTCTGCAGCGTGCCCCTGCTGTTCCGCTGGTGGACCAAGGCCAGCTTCTCTGTGGTGGAGATGGTCAAGTCCCTGACGCGGAGCTCCATGGTCAAGCTCATCCTGGTGTGGCTCTCGGCCATCGTGCTCTTCTGCTGGTTCTACGTGTACCGCTCGGAGGGCATGAAGGTCTACAACTCCACGCTGACCTGGCAGCAGTACGGCTTCCTGTGCGGGCCCCGGGCCTGGAAGGAGACCAACATGGCACGCACCCAGATCCTGTGCAGCCACCTGGAGGGCCACAGGGTCACGTGGACAGGCCGCTTCAAGTACGTCCGGGTGACGGAGATCGACAACAGCGCCGAGTCGGCCATCAACATGTTCCCGTACTTCATTGGCGACTGGATGCGCTGCCTCTACGGCGAGGCCTACCCGTCCTGCAGCCCCGGCAACACCTCCACGGCCGAGGAGGAGCTCTGCCGCCTCAAGCACCTGGCCAAGCACCCCTGCCACATCAAGAAGTTCGACCGGTACAAGTTCGAGATCACGGTGGGCATGCCGTTCAGCAGCAGCACCAACAGCACCCGCGGCCACGAGGAGGACGACATCACCAAGGACATCGTGCTGCGGGCCAGCAGCGAGTTCAAGAGCGTGCTGCTCAACCTGCGCCAGGGCAGCCTCATCGAGTTCAGCACCATCCTCGAGGGCCGCCTGGGCAGCAAGTGGCCCGTCTTCGAGCTCAAGGCCATCAGCTGCCTCAACTGCATGGCCCAGCTCTCGCCGGCCAGGCGGCATGTGAAGATCGAGCACGACTGGCGCAGCACCGTGCACGGCGCCCTGAAGTTCGCCTTCGATTTCTTCTTCTTCCCGTTCCTGTCGGCCGCATGAGCAGCCGCCGCCGCAGAGGCACCAGTGCATGTTGCTGTGAGGCCTCCCGAGCACTGCCCAGCCAGATGGCGCAGCCCCGTGCCGCGTGTGCGTGTGCTCCCGTGTGCCGAGTGTGCAGACCCAGGGCTTCGAGGACCTTTGGCTCGTGTGTAGACTGCCCAGGGGTGAGGGTGGCTGCTCCCTAGCTCTGCCCATCTTGGAGGCCAAGCACTGCTGGAATCGCATGCAGTTTTTGCCCACGTCCTGGCCTTTCCCAGTGAAGCTGGGGTGCCAGGCTAGACCAGAAAGGCCCCGTGTCTCACGAAGCACTTTACAGGTGGTATTCTCCCCCTCCCCCACGTCCGTGTACCCTGTTGGCCCTGGCTTACTTTTGTGTTGGGTTTGTTTTTTAAAGAACCATTGCGTGTTTGTGTACTCCATGATAGCATTTCTTATTTATTTGGTTATTGCTAAGCCCTGATGGCTGTTCGCCTCTCTGGGGCTGCACCGCTGCCTGCATCCCAGCATGTGATCAAGGCATGGCTGAGAGCTGGGCGAGGCAGCCATAGGCAGGGCGTGCCACACTGGGCTCTGGGCACCACACCCTGCCTCGTGGCTTTACTGTCCAGCAGGTCGTGGATATGTTTGTGCCGGATTGCCTGAATCTACCAGGACTTGGAAAGCAAGGAGCACCCTGGGCATCCCCACTGCTCAGGAAGGTTGGCCGTGTTCAGTACTGTAGAGCAGCTCAGAGTCCTCCCACAGCCGAAATAAAGAGCTTTGGTGAAATCTGTACTCCTCTCTCCTTTGCCTGTGACTTCTGCTGTATGTGAGCATCAGCCAGCATCCACACTCGTGTGGAATGAAATGCACACTTGGGGTTTGGAAGGCAGAACTGACCTTCACGTGGCTGATCCCCTGCCCAGGAGTAGACCTTGCAGCCACCCCAAGTATGCGGGGCCTTAGGGTGTCTGCCATAACCCTCCGGTGGGGTACAGCAGGGATGCCCAGTGCCCACAAGCATGGAATGCCAGCTGCTGTCGGATCTTTAGGTGAAAAGTGGTCACAGTTGCTTTGAAACTCAAATTCCTAATGAAACAGCATCCATAGAAATTCATGATGATAGCACACCCCACCAGGGTAGTGTGTCTGTTGGTAAAAGGTCCCGGGCTCAGTCAGGTACCATGGTAATTCATAGGATTATAATCAGAATTTAAGTCATTCCTAGGTGCTGGACCAGTGGGGGACCCCACCTGGGATGAACCTGGGTCCCTTGGGTCCTGGTTTCCCTCCTAAGGATGAGGACATGTCTAGCACCCCCTCCTGCTCCTTGTAGGTAGGCTTCTCCCGCTGTGGTTGGGGAACATGGAGTTGATTCACACAGCCTCCGTGGGCTGCCTTCGGGGTTTGGGACGTGGCTGCTGCATTGTCATCCAGCACTGCCCGTGACACTGGTCTGGGTGTAGCTCTGTCCCTCCTGCCCATAGGCTCTACTTAGGACCCCACGCGTTTAGGGCATGCTCGAGAGCCTCCATGGCTTGGGTGTGTTTGCTCCTAATTCTTCCCTGGAAAGTAGGGTGAGGTTCAAGGGCAGCCCACTCCCTCTCCGCATCCCGCCAATCGTGATGCCAAGAGATGCATTCACAATGCGATGCTGCCCCCCAGATGTACCACTGACTGTCCAGCGGGGGAAGTCACTGGACACTCCCAGGGCCAACACAGATGGTCTCCCTTCGTCTTCACAGCCCCACTGATGGAAGTACCGTGACAGCCGCAGCAGGCCACTGAGGTTCAGAGAGGAGGTCCCGGCACACATTAGCAGCGGAACCAGGATAGGACCGAGATGCACCTGCCCTGGCCCCTGGCCCACCTTGCTGCTCCTGGGACCCCACTGTTAGCTTCTAGCCAATCAGCAGAGCTGCCAGCTTGGAGGAGGGTTGTGTGACTTGTGGTGAGTGTCCGCCTTGGGCACCGATCCCATGTTCTCCCTCTCATTTACCATGAAGTCCTCAGTGACCAGAAGCCCTTCAGAGGCACTGTCCCCAGGCCTCTGTGCCTCGACCTGTGAAACAGGAAGTCTGGATCAGTGGTTTTCACAGCTTCTTAGCAATGATCCCCCGACCTTTTTATTTGTTTTTTGGTTCTGGGGTTGAACCCAGGGGCACCTAACCCCTGAGCCACATCCCTGGCCCTTTTTTATTTAGAGATAAAATCTTGCCAAATTGCTGAGGCTGGCCTCAAACTCGTAATCCTTCTTCCTCAGTCTCCGAACCCCTGGGATTACAGGTTCCCTGGCTCAGTGACCCCCTTTTAAATGACCTGAATGTCATGCAGTGCTCCTGCAGAGTGGGAGGGGCACCCAGCAGTTCAGGAGCAGCAGGCACAGCCCGGAGTAGCAGTGTGGCTGCGGGTGCTGATCCCACTCCTAGGCCCTCCCAACTGCATGACCCTGGGCAAGCCCAGGCTGCCTGGGCCCACTTCCTCCTCTGCCTCCCTGGCTCTTTTGAGGGGAATGAGATTCCTGATGAGTCAGTTGGAATGTCATTAGTAAATGCTCCATAAATATTTGGTAATTTTTTTTAAAGGTTAAACATTCATGGAACTTAAAAACTAAGAACCTTTAGACCAGCTCTCATCAGGAGAATTGTGAAGTCCTTGCTAGCTTTGGAAGAACTTAAAACTTAGTGAAAATAACTGTTTAGATTGGAACTGATCGGAGGGGCTGAATTCAAACAAAGGGTGTAGCGTCTCCTAATGTTCTGTCTGCACACGTAACTGCACAGCCAGAAGTGTATTCTGTAGTGTGACTTCCTATCTAGAATGTTCCTCTACCTTACCAATTGCTCTGAAGGCCATTACTGTGCTGGATCAGTATGTACTGCTATGTGACACTGAGGTGGCACTGTGACTCCCCAGTTGAGCCAAACCCCGTCCCTGCCTCAAAATTCATAGCCCGCAGGGAGTAGGGGGCAGATGGCCCAAGTGCTCAACAGGAAGTGCTATGGGGATCCAGAGAGTGGCCTTCCAGCCTGAGGTTGAAGGGGGCAGGAAAAGCAAGGAGAGGAAGCGGAGAGGCCAATAGGGAGGGTGTCCACTATGCAAGGCCCCAACATGGCGTGACCCGAGGCTGGACAGGAGAACTCCATGTGGCTGGGAGGTGACAAGGGATCTGGCCTTTGTCCCGAAGGAGCCCCACCTGGCTTTCTGGGTCCTTGTAGTTCAGGGCTGAGCTCTGGGGGGCTGTGCCTGGAAGACCTGTGAGGCTCCATCTGCAGGGGAGGAGAGCACCCCCATAACCTTCCCAGCAGGCCTGGCAGGCCATGGCCGTCGGTTCTGGAGACAATCCCCAGAGGAAGCTCGATGGAGCAGTGAGCGCTGGTGCCGGGCTTTGGGAAGCAGCTCTGCCTTCCTTCCCCAGCGCGACGCTTGCCTGCAGGAGCTGGGATGGAGGAAACAGCTTGGCAAACAGGGTCCCAGGAAATGGTGGGGGCAGTTCAGGGCTTCTCGTTTCCGCAGTCCCTTTCCAGGCTGCTGTTGGGGCTGCCTCAGGCCCCGTGCTCCAGCCCCACCTCCTGCAGGCTGCAGTGACTGCCCCCAACTGGCCTCCAGATCCCAGCAGGGCACAGACTGTCCATGTTCCCCCACGGATGGCTGGGACCCAGCTGCCGCTGAGCAAGACTCCACTCAGTCAGTCACAATGTGAGGGAGGTGAGAACAGCGAGGCACAGCCGGCACAGCGAGACACCCCAAAATCCATAGCTGGCATCAAAGCCAGGACCAGAAATCCAGGTGTCCAGAGCTTCATCGCCGCTCACAGAGTAGGTGCTCAGAAAACGCACTGAATGAACAAATGGCTGGTGAGCCACATTTGAAGACAAGTGCTGACCTTCCTGAAGGAAAACTGACTCTCAAAGGGCACACCCATTTGCACCTTTCAGAGGCTCTGCAAGTAACACATGAATAATTCACTTCTCCAAACATCCACATCTATTTTGCATTTCAGGATTTTTTTGGGTGGGGATATAGAGCTAATAATGGAATTCTTACATTTTTCATTTTTACTTTTTTCCTCCTAATATCGCTGCCTTTTGTGGACTTTTAATCCCTCTCTGAAACTCACCCTGTCATCTGACTGTGTGGGCCTCCTGCCTAATTCTAACAGCATCCAGGTAAAGATAATGGGGCTTTGTTTTTTTTTTTTTAAAAAAAGGACCTCAGTTTGAAGAATCGCTCCCCACATAAGCAATTATTTCAGGCTCTAAAAGCTTCTGTGTTGCTAGGAAACCACCCTGGGAGGCTGGCAGCCCTTTGTTACAGAGGTTCATCCAGTGGTCGGTGGCAGCCTAACTTTGAAAAGCAGTTTGCCTTCCGCTCCCTCACCTCCCTGTCCAGAAGTGACAGTCACCTGACCAACTCTCTAGACGGCTGGCTTTCCCGTGTCAGAGGCCCCTTCTTCCTGTTGAATTCATAGAACATCCTGTCTCTGTAGGCAGTGGGGCCTCCTGGGCAGCGTTCAGAGCCCCCAGAGGAGCCAGGGGCCTGGGTACTCGGATTTTGAAAGTGCCCCTGGGGCTGAGACACAGGGCCCTGTCCCTGGAGGGCCAGCAGTGAGGTGGCCAGGTCCATCGCTCCTGACTTCTTCAGGAGCTTGCAGAGACCCAAAAGCTCAGCCCCACCAGGGGAGAGGGGGAGAGTGTTAGGGCCACCAGAGGGGACAGCCAGCTGGCTCCCCACAACACTGGAGACTGCTTTTGCTGCATCGGCCCCAGGCTCGCTTAGCTCCCAAGGTTGATATTATCCCCGTGTTGTCCTCGGGAAGCTGGGCATACAGGGTTTGCAGAGAAGTTCAGCTGCTTGCCTGAGACTCCTGTGGTGTCCCCACACCTCCCCCAGCACAGCAGTCCTTGTGACCAGCAGAAAGTGGAGAGGGGATGAGTTGTCACTTCTGAGGTTGGTTTATAAGAAGACTGTGGCCCTATCTCAGATCAGTGGCTCCAGGTGAATCCACTGCATTGAGTGGCTCTGTGGAGGAGCCCACGTGTCCAGGGCTTGAGGCCTTGGCCAACAGCTATCCCAGAGAGCTGGGACAAAGTTGCCACTCCCAGCTGGCTCTTCTTCAGAGACGGCGGCGTGGCCAATGACTAGGTGGCAAACTCCCAGGAGACCCGGAGCCAGGACCCATAGTATTCAGAGTGAATTAGTTTGTGCAAGAATCGGTTGTTTTAAAACAAGATTGGCCCACATGCTGGGCCCCTTCTGCCTGTGTCTGTTTCCCTTGCTGTTCCTCTGTTATGTTGTGACATGGCTAAAGGGTGCCCTTACCAGAGGTCAAACTGATGCAGCCACAGATCTCAGACTTTCAGCCTCCAAAACTGTGAGCCAAATGAACTTCCATACTCTATAAAGTACCCAGCCTCAGGCCTTCCATTATAGCAGCAGCAGATAGACTAATACACCATCTAATCTCTGCTCTCCCAGCCTCTGGTCACTGACTTTGGAAGGTTTGTCAGACTCCTGAGCCTCATTGCCTCCCTTCACCACGTACCACTGCGGCTGTCCTTATCGTATCCATGGGCCTCCCACATGCTTCCTAGCTTCCTAGGCCTCAATTGGCTTCTCTGTGAAACCAGGATCACAGAGAGCTGCTTTGCAGGGTTGTTGTGAGCTGGTGGGAAATGAGCCATCACGCTCTCGTCCACACGATCACTCTTCACGATTTTTCCATTTATTCTTTTGATCATTTATACATTGACTCATGGTCATGCAACCATTCATTCTCTCTCTAATTCTTCAGG